TTTACAGGAAAAGGGGTTACTAGCCCATTTTTTCCCCGGCTTTTTTATTTGATTTTTTCAACACCCCGGGCTTACGGAGGAAAGTTTCTTTTTCCATTTCCCCCAGGATAAAAAGGAAAATTAAAAGACCAAGAACTTTTAAAGATAAAATCAAAGAAAACAGATGATGTGTATAAAATAAATGTGTATATGTATGGTAGTTGACCTAAGTGTAAGTAGAATGCAAGACATGCCTGTAATCTTGCATATTTATAAAAAGACAAAAGACATCACAACCCTACCATCATGTAAAAAATCACAGGCTTTCGTTTTACACCCCTTTGGGGGACGGTAGTACCCCCCGGGGTGGTTGCTTTACCAACCTACTATACATACAAAAAAAAGTTGTTTTTGAGATTTTTTTTTTTCTTTTTTAAAAAATTGCAACACTGACAGGGGCTCTGAAAACTGGGGATTTCAAAATGAAGGGTTAAAATATCATATTTCCCGGATTTTGTATTTTCAGCAAGGCAATCATCTTTAAAAAAAAAATCCATTACAATGAAATTTATTAAAAGGAATTACAAAAAAAAAGATTATAAAATCGACACATGATAACAGCTTTCTACTCTATGAGAATTTTAACAAAAAAACATTAATATTTTAAAAAAAAAAAAAAATATTTTAAAATGTGACAATAAAAAGGATTTTTTAAAAAAAATTTTGAAAACCTGACCCCCAAAATTTAACAAAATTATACATTTTAGTATTTTTGGGAAGTGCCCAAATTATGGGGGTCAAATTTCGATCCAATGGACAGTGGGTCCAATTTTTTGAATCAAGGGGCTCTTTGTGGGTAAAAGGGCACCACCCATAAAACAACAAATGAACCAATGGCTGGTATTTACTCTAAACTGTGCTTGGGAAACACAAAGTATTTCTTTGAAATTAATCAAGAATGGGGGGGGGTTTAAACCCCCAAAGGTTTGGAGTCCAAAAAACAAATACCTTAACTTTATTTAACGAGTGTAGCTAGGTGGGTGATAGGGTTTTCCCAAAATGGTGTCCCAGTAATGCTCTCAAAAAGTGCCCTTTAAACATTGCAGGGATTTTGGCTTATTTTTTGGGAAAACTTGCAGCAACATTTCATAAAATTTGGGAAAAAACCCTTGTTTAAAAAAAATACAGAAATCCCCCCACTTAGGGACTTTACTCGTTTACTGATGGGGCCCCTTGGGAAATTGGAACTCTGTTATTGAGGAAAGGTTTGTATGCCCCGGGAAAGAAAAAAATTCCAAAAAAAATTTTGAGTGGAAAACACGATAAAATTTTCAAAAATTTGCTCATGGGGCCCACCCAAGGCAGTCCCTGACTGGGAAAAGGGCATCCCCATTTAGTCGGGGGCATCCCCCAAAATCGGGGGTTTCCCCCTTTAAAATCGGGGCATCCCACTTTTGTTGGGGGTTCCCCAAAACCTGGGGGTAACTTTACACCCACAGGGGGTGTGAGCACAAAAATTCAAAAGCTTTTTTTTTTAGTTAAATTTTACTCCCCCACGGTACTGTATTCTTTCAATTTGAGTTTTAAAAATTTAAAAAAATTTGACTTCTTCATTTTTCAAATGTGATATTATTTTTTGTAGGTGTTTCCAAACTTTAATCAACATTTCCTAGGGTGAAAGGGCATAGAAAAGGGGGGGCCCCTTCCTAAGTAAAAGAAAGTCTTTGGGTAACAAATTTTTCACATAATCTATATAAATAAAATTTTTTTAATTTTATAGAAAGAACATGTAAAAAACTTTTTAAAAGAAAATTATTAAATTTGGCATCGATATCAAAAATTTACTGAAAAAGCTCTGCTAAAGGGCAATGACAACTTTACTTTTTTTTAAACCCGGGGGTTTAGAAAACCCAAATCATGCTTTACTTAATTTTCCCATTTCCATGTCTTTGACAGTCGGCATCAACCTCACCTGTTTTTTTATATTTGTGAAACTTACTGAAAACTGATAATAAAGATAAAAAATTTTAAATAAATTTTTTGGATAGTGGGCTTCTCGGGGGGGCTAGCCATGGAAAATTTTTACTTGTACTGCCCAGGGGTATAAACCTTTTCCCAAATCCCCCAAAGACACAACCTCCAATGTTTACTGGTAGCGGGCAAATAAAGCCCTTGGGGAAAAGCCCAAACCATCACCTCCTCCACTTTTTATCATCACAGTTCTACTGAAATTTTTTTTTGGTAATCACTTTTCATTGGATACGGGAAAGGGCCTTGCATCACAGCTCTTCATTTTACAGCTTTTTCACTTACAGCAGTTTTCAATTATCACTTTCTTCCCCTTTATCCACACTTTCCTACAATAAATTTTTTCACCACTTAAGCTAAGGACAAAAAAAACTTTAAGGTTAAAATAATGGGGCCCTTAAAGTAAAATTGGGGGTTTTAAAAATATGAAAGGGTAAACACATTATCATGCTTTTTTAAAGCTTTTTAAAGTGAAAAAAAAACTTTTTTTTCACCTTACCCGCAATTTTCGCTTTTCTTTAGTAGCCCGGGAAACCTTTAAAAGGTATTTAAGCGGGCCCTCCTTTTCTTTTTTCTCGCCTTGAAGATTTCTCAAAATTCCCCTCTTCTGAAAAAAATATTTTTTCAGGCTGGGGCAATATCAAGTAGTAATAGGTAGCATGATTTTGTAAACTGAGCCATCTCCTTTCCGAGTTGTCACTGCCACGCTGGTGAAAGAATTTGTTTTTTAAAAACTTTCACTTGGGATTTTGTGGTAAAAGTGGTTTCCTTTTTCTAACCTTTTCTATGGTGTATAAATATACCTGGTTTTGGATGAAATCTTATTGTAACCCGCTGGGCCCCGTGGCCAACAAAAACCCGGTTTTGGAAGTTTTACACTCTCTGATTGCAGGTTTCCCATCCCCCCCCCGTGGTTTGGTTTTTTTTAGCCATCTCCTTGGGCCCTGTGGTGTTTCTCAGACCTTGTTCTTAGGGTGGGGATTTTTTATTTTTTTTATATTATTTGGGTTAGCCCCTACTGTTGGGTGCCCACAAAGTTTTATTATCCTTGAATGCTGATGAAATACAAGTTTACATATGGGTTTTGGGAAAATAAAAATCCAAAACTTCATATGGGCTTTCTGTATACACAAACAAATGTTCCCCCCATCTTTGTAAAAAAACGTTGTACTGTAAACATGCCGAAAAAAAAATCTTTTTTCCTTTTTTTATATTAGTCTTCTTCTGCTGGTTTTCGGACCTGGATAACCAAAGTTGAAAATTAATGAAATTTTTAATTTTTCAGGGGAAAATCTCTAGGAAAAAAAAAATTGGAGATTTTGGTTTTCCTTTTAACTGTTTGGGATTGGCAGTTTTACTTTGTGGGATTTAAATAAAAAGGGCGGGGTGGGGTATATGGATTCTCATTGTTATTTGTAGGGGACATTAAACCAAAAATAATTAACGAAATATTAAAAACCACTACTACCCACACTTCTTTCCTTTCCCCCTCTCTTTTTGCCCCTCCCTGCTTTCCCTTTTATTAAAAAAATTTCCCCTTTTCCTTTTTTTGTGTTAGTGTGTTACTAGTTTAAAGGTGCAAAATCCCGGCCAAAATGTTGTTTATTGTTTCCCTTTTCCTATCTGGCCCAAATAATTTGTGTATTGTTAAATCTTGAAATTTTTTTATATGGGTAATCTCTATGCGTCAGAAAATATCTTTTTTCACTAGTATCTTCTTTCCCTTTTCCCCTCTATTGTTCCCTTTTAAAATTTTTTTGCAATTTCCCGTTTGTGGTTTGCCCAATTACCCTTTCTTAAAAGACCTCGTCCCATACTGAAACATGCAATAATGGTAATTTTCACTCCCACCTGGAAACCAAAATTGTTTCCCCCAAAAATGTAGGACTTGCAATGGCCCCACTATTAAAAACAAGAAAACAAAATTTTAAAAACTTTCCTATTAAAAATTTTAAAAACATTAAAAATTTAATAAACCAAAAAAATCTAAAGGAAAAAAGCTTGTACCCTTCACATTGGGCCTTTAAGAATTTTTTGTGAATGGGGCTATGGTTTTCCTTTTAGACTGACTGATCCTTATGCTTGTTGGGAAAAATAATTTTGCAGAAAAAAGCCTTTGTTTTTTTTTTAAACCCCGGACTGGTTTTAAAATCACTAAAGTCGGGTTTAAAAATCAGGAAAACCCGCTCAAGTTTTAGGGCCCCCGTTGAAAGTTATTCTATTTTTTTAACGCTTTTTAATCCCCAAAGATTTTCCTTTGGGGAATGGGGAAAAGAATTCCCTTTCCCCCATAAGGGCCCCGGGGTGTTTTTTAGGGGGCGACTAAAATGCCCGGGGCAAGGGGCTATAAAAACCCCTTTTTCCCGTTTTATATTACAAAGTAAAAGGAGAAACTTCTGTTTTTTTCCCTTTTGGGTCAACCCCGCCCCGTTTGGGGTAAGGGTTGTGCATTGAGTGAAGAAAAAAGGTTCCGATGGGTTTAACTCCCCACCCCTTGAATATAAAATCAGTATTCCCTTTTTATTTTAGTTTTAAAATATTGGTTTTTATGTGTGAGCATCAAAACCCTAACCTGGGAAAAACAGACATGAAACACCCTAAATCCCCAACAGGCCCAAAAGAAGTGAGTACAGTGCATTCAAGGTATGTAATTTTAACATGTACCCCTTGAGGGAAACCCCAAAATCGGGGTATTAAATGGGAACAGAGGAAAGATAGTCTTAGCCAAAGATCACTGAATTTGAGCAAAAGCTTAGGGGATCATACCTAAAAGAATAAAAAAGGGGCCCAAAAGGGGGGTACAGGATATTGCAAGGGAAACCCCCAAAAAAAATTTTTGTTTTTGTGCAAAATCCCAAACTTGAACTACATGTAGAATGGCCATTATTGAGAGGAGATTCGCATACTAAAGATTGGGAAAAGGGAAAAGATTTAAATCCTAAAAGAACAGTGAGTTGGGGATTAGCAACCCCCCTAAAAAGCAAAAAAAGGGAAAAAAACCCGAAAAATTTTTCACTCTGGCAGAAGGCCTCACAGACCAACTAACTGATGTTAGTACAAATCCCATAGATTTCGAAAAAGAAATGGACAACATGCCCAATCACTCAGTACCTGGACCAGATTCATGGAATGCTCTATTTATAAAGAAGTGCAAAGTCCCACTAGCACGAGTATTAGATCTAGGAGAAATGCCAGATGCCTTAAAGACTGCAGATATAGCTCCTTTGCATAAGGGAAGTAGTATAGCACTAGCTAAAAATTACAGACCAGTAACCCTAACTTCTCACATCATAAAAATCTTTGAAAGAGTGATGAGACAGCAGATTACAAATTTCATGGACCAGCACAACCAGCATAACCTGAACCAGCATGGTTTTAGAGCAAGACGATCATGCCTGTCACAGCTGCTGAACCATTATGACAGAATTATGGAGGCATTGGAAGACGACCAAAGTGCAGATGTGATTTACACAGATTTTGCAAAGGCGTATGACAAATGTGATTATGGAGTGATAGAGCACAAAATAAGGGTCATGGGCATTACAAGGAAAGTAGGCAGATGGATTTTTGGGTTCCTAACACAGAACACAGAAAGTAGTAGTGAACAGAGCAAGTTCCAGCATCAGCGAGGTCAAAATCTCAGTGCCCCAAGGCACTTTTACTGGCACCTCTGCTGTTTCTCATCCTCATAGCAGACATAGATAAAAACACCTTTCACACATTTGTATCATCATTTGCAGATGACATTAAAATAAGTATGAAAGTCACTATGGTAGAGGACACTGATAAATTACAGGATGACATAAGCAGGGTTTTCCAGTGGGCAGTGGAGAACAACATGATGTTCAATGGTGATGGGTTCCAGCTGCTTAAGTATGGAAAGAATGAAGAACTCAAAAGAAGCACTATATACAAAACTCGAGAGGGTCACCAAATGTATAGAATGAAAGGAACACATAAAAGACCTGGGAATAATTATGTCAGCTGACCTTTCTTTTAAAGGTGATAACAAGACAAAGATCACGACAGCCAGGAAGATGATGGGGTGGGTATTGAGAACTTTCAAAACAAGAGAAATAATGCCGATGGTGACACTCTTCAAATCGCTAGTGCTCCCTCATTTAGAATATTGCTCAGTGCTGATGGCCCCATTCAAAGGAAGAGAAATATCAGAGCTGGAACAAATACAGAGATTGTTAACGGTTCACATTGAGCTAGTAAAGCACCTAAATTAATGGGAATGCCTTCCAGTCTTGAACATGTACTCACTGGAGTGGAGGAAAGAGAGATAGTATATGATAACATTACGTACATGGAAAGTACTCGAGGGCTTGGTCCCAAATCTGCACACTGCCATAACAACATACTGGAGTGAGAGATATGGGAGGAAGTGTAAAATAAGCCCAGTAAGGAGCAGGGGTGTGGTGGGGACAATAAGGAAACATTGTATCAACATCTGAGGTCCCTGACTATTCAACATCTTACCAGAAGATATTAGAAACATGGCTGGAACAAGTACAGAAGCCTTCAAGAGGAAACCGGACAAGTATCTTCACCAGGTACCAGATCAACTAGGCTGTGATGGATATGTGGGGCAGTGGGCCTCCAGCAGCAACAGCCTGGTTGACCAGGCAAGCACCAGACAAGCCTAGCCCATGGCCAGGCTCAGAGAGTAGTGAAACTCTCGAAACTTTTCAAAGGTAAAGATAAGGCTTGTGAATTTCCTTAAAGAACAGGCTTTCAAGAATTATAAAATTCCAAATTATTAATTATAATTATTCTGAATTATTTACTTTATATTAGTTCTTATTAACATATATACTAACATACAAAAAAAATTCCACATTTACAACTATGAACACTGTACTCATCTAATTATACTCACTAATTGTGGCTGCAGGGGTCGAGTTTCAGCTCTTGGCCCCACCTCTTCACTGGTCACTACTAGGTCCATTCTCTCTGTATACATGATACTCGTACTATATCTACCTCATCCCCCCCCCCTGAGGATCTGCAACATAACACAGACAGTACAAGAATCAAATGTCTCTTTGATATACCACTTGTTTGACTCAACCTGCTTAGAAACTCCAGGAAGATAAAAAGCCCAAAAGTATGGAACACACTACCTGAAGATGCAGAAAGTTCACCATCTGCCAACTGCTTCAATGTTAGGTAGAAGGACACAAGTGCAACTAATGTGACATTTTATTGTGGCAACGTTTCACTCTAAAGGAGCTTTGTCAAGCCCCTGGAGAGCAAAACGTTGCCACAATAAAATGTTGAATTAGTTGCCCTTGTGTCCTTTTACCTAACACATTGTTGGTAATTTTACAAACATTATTACAACTGCTTCAATGATTTTCTTAAAAGTGCCTTAAATCTGATGAAAGTGCTATGTTAAGTGATTGTAAACATTAAACACAGCCTCTGTAACCATATTCTCTAAACTTGAGTAGCACTTGTCCTCATGTGCTACTGTCACCGCCATATTTCTACCACCCATTAATAATTATAATCAATATTGTCAGTGCAGTCAAGATTATTCTCTCTTCATATCATATTGTATTAAATTTAGTATTCAAACAATTTACTTGTAATACATAACCATTTTAGTGTTAAATTGGTTTTATTCCTAAGGTTACCCAAATGCTATACAAACAATGGTCTTTTTAAATTACTGCACTGTTTCCATGTATAATGTTCAGAATGTTTTTTTTTATTCTGCCACTAGTCCTACTAGTACTACTATCTGCTGCTACTATTAACAACAACTATTACTATATAAATGCTTTAGAAATCTTACAAGTTGAAGAATGAGACACTAGTGCAACATTTGGGTAATTTTATGGAAACATTTGGAGTAATGAAGCCCCTGACTGGCCAAACATTTCCATAATAAAGATACCCAAATGTTGAACGTGTCTCATTCTCAACTACAACTACTACAACTACTACTGCTGCTAACTACTAATTACTACACTACCACCACCAGTTAAGATACAAAGTACAGAATTACTGTTGAAATGCAATTTCATCAACAAAATGAGTGTATGTGACAATCAAATCGATTCAGAATGAGCAACACTCAGGTTGCAAATAATTTTAAAAGGGAGAAACTCATCTGTTTGTTCAGTGCTTCCATATCAATATAATAATTAATTTATTAGTTGTGGAGTTCCTGTAATACCACACAGAAAGAGCATCTTCCTTCCATGACTCAGAAAATTAAGCACAAATTCTGGCTCTGTATCAAGAATATGAAGATTTATGAAGGAGTTCAGGGAAACTGGTTAGCTGGAACCAAGTCCTGGAGGTGGAAAATACAGTGCCTGGACTCTGAAGAATAAGCCCTATGTGGAGCCCATATCTACAGTGACTTTTGTAGGTTTTAGAATCTAATCAAGACACATGAAATTGTTGTTGCTGCTTCTAGCCAACAGAGAAACTTTTCATCATCTTCAGATAACCAATTAGAGAGCCCTCCTCTCCGAGGAAATAATGGAACTGGAATCAGAAACAGTGGAGTTCTCAACTTGGGGGACAGTGTTTCCCAATCATTTGTAAAAACTCATAAGTAGGAACAAAGACTGTTTGGACTCAATTTTAAAAATTAATAGAAAACTATGAAAGTTATGTCAAAAAGTACAAGATTAAAAAAAAAAAGTCTTAGAAAGGTCATTCTATAACATACGAGAAGCACGGCTAAATCCTTTTCCTCTTACATTGATGATTGAATGCCTTAGTGGATCATGTGTGTGTTATGTGAATTTCTGAGTTCTAACGAGAGATATATTCTAGAGGGGTGCCTTGAACCATTAATTAGTCACAGTGTGACTAGTTAGTGGTCCAAGTCAGATCAAAATGTTGTCATAAATTTCTTTCTCCTATGTGCAGGTTATTTGTGTAAACAGTGGAACCTCTGGCCACGAATGCTTCTGAACACAAACAAATTGGTTCACGACCAAAAAATTCTGCAAACTTTTGCGTCTGGTCATGAACACATAATCGGGTGCTGAACAAACACAGCCACGCCAATTTTCACAGTCCGCATCATTGTTACTCATTTACCGACACCTCGGACTTACAACAGGCTCTCTGACCAGTATGCATGCCTAAATAATGAATACTAGAGCTGATTTCCTTTGTTCTGTTTATTACAATATACAGTACACTACTGTATAAACATTTAAAAATATACCACAAATGTTACAAATGGTGAGAAGGTGACATTAAAACAATATCAAAGATAGCTGACAGAAACCCACTACCATAATAGTATGCTCCTCACTTAGTGATGAATTCATTTACTGACATGGTCTTAGGAATGGAACTCCGTTGTTAAGTGAGGAGAAACTGTCTATTTTTTCTCAGTTGTTTGTTAGGCTATCTTATTAAAACTTGGGCAATGTATGATGGAAAGATAATTTTTAACATACACCAAAATTGAAAGAAATCAGGCGGCAAATAACGGAGTTCACTGCTCAGCCATTAGATGCTTAAAACTCTTAGGACTCGTGCAATGTTAGTTTTCTCTGTTGTTCAAGGTTTTCTCAGTGTTAGTCAAGGTTTTCACATTTAGTTTACTATTATACTGTGTATTCTATGGTATAATTAACTATTTTTGTGTTTAAAAATCTTAAAAAAAACAATATTTACATACAGTTCCTAGGGATCTGGAACGGATTAACTGTATTTACATACAATCCAATGGGGAAATTAGGTTTGGAACACAACCAAATCAGGTCACGACCAGAGTTTTGGAATGAATTATCGTCGTGACCAGAGGTTCCAACTGTACCTGGAATACCTGGAAGGTGTTCCGGGGGTCAACGCCCCCATGGCCTAGTCCATGACCAGGCCTCATGGTAACCCAGTCATGGTAATGTACCTTTTGTTCCAAAGAATTAGAGCCACTCTTCCCTTCCTTCAGTAAAACTTGATTACCTACCAATCTACACAGCATTAAATGACCCCCTACAGCTTCAGAGCTTTGTCCATAACTATAATAATCATCAACTATAACCCACAGTGCTCTCAAGCGAATGGAGCTCTTGGGAACATAGTGACGACCTTATAACAAACCCAGATTTGATACTATCATGAATGTAAAAAAAAAAAAAGTGTAATCAATGATGCCTTGTTTGGACTACGTACAACCTTATTCAGTATATTAGTAGTGTACATTACTGAAAAATTGATGAATGAGACACAGGTGCAACATCTGGGTATCTTTTTAAATAGCACAGATACCCAGGTCCTAGGTAGTAGGTTGGCAGACAGCAACTGCCCAGGAGGGTGCTACTGTTTTGCCAAGCGAGTGTAAAACGGAAGCCTGTAATTGTTTTATATGATGGAAGAATTGCTGGGGTCTTTTTTCTGTCTCAAAACATGCAAGATTTCAGGTACATCTTGCTACTTCAACTTACACTTAGGTCACACTACACTTGCATGTACAGGCAGATATATACACACCCCTCTGGATTTTCTTCTATTTTCTTACTAGTTCTTGTTCTGGTTACTTCCTCTTATCTCCGTGGGGAAGTGTAACAGAATTCTTCCTCTGTAAGCCATGCGTGTCATAAGAGGTGACTAAAATGCCGGAAGCAAGGGGCTAGTAACCCCTTCTCCTGTTTAAGCTACAAAAGTTAAAAACAGAAACTTTCATTTTTCTTTTTAGGTCACCCTGCCTCGGTGGGACATGGCCGGTTTGATAAAAAGAAAAAAAAAAGATACCCAGGTTTTGTATATATGTCTAATTCATTAATCTTCTTCGTGTAAAAGATCTACATTACTTGCAGAAGATCTACATTACTTGTAGAAGATCTACATTACTTGCAGAAGATCTACATTACTTGTAGAAGATCTACATTACTTGCAGAAGATCTACATTACTTGTAGAAGATCTACATTACTCCCATTACTCACAGCTTGTGTACTTTTTATTCTCAAGAGTCCAGTGCCCAGATATTCAAACAACATTCATAACATCACCTGTAACAACACTCTACTACACATGGCCCCAGAGATCACTTTCCACTGCATTCTCAATTTAAAATTGAACTTCTAGAAGAATGAAGTGACGATGAAAGAGCCTCTGATTAAATGAATTAAAGCCACACTCCTTTTTCTTTGATCGAGCTTCTTCACCTCCCATCCCTCAAGTATTATGTAACCCCCTATGAGTTTAGCATTTCTCCATGAAAGTACTACTAATAATAAACTTTTGAAAAATCCTACTAACATTAATTATATATTTTAAGTAATTCATTGTGAATGCTCTCTAGCATCTATAAATCTATACATATATTTAATAGATTTTTTTTAACTTACTTTAAATAATACTGTATAAAGAATATTTTACAGCGAGACACCACAAGAATTATAAATATAATTCAGTATAAATTGACCTCAAAACGATGACCAACATACTTAACAAAATTTGTACATGTTCATTTAGTGAGTTCGCATTAAGTGAAAGCATCGTAAGTCCAACTTCTAAACGTAATCATTTCATTGTAGTGGCACACGGGTATTGTTCGAATCTCTGTGTTTTTGTCGTCGAAGACGTCCCACAGAGCACTGCGGATGCATACAACAAGAGCTGGACGGAATCTGAAAAGAAAAAAAGAAATGCTCATTTCGGCGACTTCCATTATACGTCAAGTGCTCAAAGAGTCATCACTCCCATGGTCTGGTCTCTGACCAGTCCACTTACAGTATGAAGAATGAGACACTTGTACAACATTTGGGAATCTTCTTTTCTCAAGACTGATGGACCGAACACTGTCTCCAGGCTAAGGGACTCATTACTCCAAACTGCTTCTTATCATCCACCATTTTTCTCTGTAATGGACTGAAGAATCCACTGGCTGGTGAAACCATTTCCCTAATAAAGATTCCAAAATGCTGCACAAGTGTCTCATTCTTCGACTTGTCAGTTTTCTAAACCACTTATATCAGACCCACTTACTGCATATCAGAATGGAAATATTACAGGAATAAGAAATATAATGAAATACAGAGGGAAATACAACAAGTTTGTAAGATTTTCCTTCCAGAAAGAAAAGACCAGTAGTCTTGCCAGAGTGAAAGAAAATGCCAGTAGTCTTGCCAGAGTGAAAGAAAAGACCAGTAGTCTTGCCAGAGTGAAAGAAAAGGCCAGTAGTCTTGCCAGAGTGAAAGAAAAGACCAGTAGTCTTGCCAGAGTGAAAGAAAAGACCAGTAGTCTTGCCAGAGTGAAAGAAAATACCAGCAATTTTGCCAGGATGAATGAGAAGATCAGCAGTCTCACCAGAGTATAAGCAAAGGCCAGCAGACACAATCACCAGTCATTTGACATTTTTAAAACCATACCGTAGCATTTAAGTCAATGTTCAATTTGTTTAATATTCAATGCATTTAATACCTTAAGCTTTACCTGTGCTTTACCAGTGACTGTTTTCAAGGACTCATTTACCCTCTTGCATCCCAGCCTGAGCCCAGGCTTTGCTGTTGACAGCCTGGTCAACCAGGTTGTCCATGCTAGCGGCCTCAAATTATACACCTACCATCCGACTTACGATCGAGTTCGGTTCCGAGAAACCGGTTGTAAGTTGAAATGGTCGTAAGTCGAACTTTACTACTGAATATCAACAAAACATTTTTGTAATGACTTTATTTTATTGTTTTAATTTGGTATTTCATGTTTTACTTTACTTTTTATGTTGTTAGTACTGTATTTTATACTGTAAGGTTTAGGATAAACACTGTGTACAACACAAATAGTTGTTTATTTCCCAGAAATTTGGCATAAAAAACACGGTCGTAAGTCGAGTGGTCGTAAGTCGAGCAAATCCTAAGTCGGATGGTAGGTGTACATGCCAACATAAATAAAAATGTACACTGTAATTTCTTAAAATGAAAAAAACTATACTTATTAAAAACAAAGCTACACAGATAAAGACTACAAACATATATAACCTTAACACAAAAAGGTCAAAACGTAAAACAATTTTTTTTCTAGCTTTACCATTTACAATTTGTATATCAAAAGTCTGAAATTCGTTACCTTAAATGTCAACTTACGAATTTTTGTACTTTCTTGTGAGTTTTGCACACTTGTTTTTGGGCGTCTGACTACCGACAATGAAGACGAACACTAGGTTTGCTTGCTTCTCGATGAAGCTGTCTATGGCAGGAATGTCAAAACTTTGCGAGTCTCTCTCAGAGTGAATAAACACTCTCTCAAGCTTCTCACAACCTTGCAAAGATTTGAACAAGGCCGTCCCAGAAGCAAGGTAGTTTTGCTCGATCCTGAAAAAAAAAATTGATCTGTCACATAAGACAAAACAACAAACCTGAAATAGACGAAACCCAAAACACCAGATTGTACAATGGGTTGTTAATGCACAGTCACTGACAAAAGTTTTTCTTGTTTACATGACAATTCAAAGCAGTTTACAATCTGCCATTTAATATGAATTTAGTCTGTAACAAAAGATATAATGTAAAGTACAGAGCCCAAACATTTGAATAAGAATTTTAAATATATTTAACTGCACAAAGATGTACAGACAAATATTAAAACAAAAAAGTAAATTCTAGTACATTCTTATTTTTGCATCTATTTATAAATGATTCCCTTTCCACAGATATCTTAACATTTCACCAACCTTCTTTTCATTACTCATTCCATGATTCTCCTTGTCTTTCATACACTCCTCTATCAACAAGTGAGCAGGCGGCTAGTAACCCCTTCTGTATAAATGACTAAATGTAAAAACATTTTTTCTTTTTGGGTTATCCTGCCTTCGTAGGAGAGGGCCAGTGCATAAAAAAAAAAAAATGGCCTGAAATAGGTGCAAAGTGGCAGAAATATCTGATTTATGGTGATTTACTTGAGTAAGGGCTGGGGCCCTCCTACCCCTCCCAGTCTATTTTAAGGGTTTTCACTGGGTCTGCTCCAGTTATCAGGACCAATTATTTTTGGTTAAGTTTCATTAACTGGGATATAAAATAAAACTTTGTTTTTTGTGTAATGGATTTAAAATGAAGGGCAAGTGTTATATAGGCAAGGACTGGAGACATAAGTAATGAAGAGACACAAAGTTCCTTTCGTGGATGAAAGCCCTATAGTGCATGTTCTGAACTGTTTTAAAATTTGAATTTGTATAATTTTTTGTAATATTGTTTTAATTACTGGCTTCCAGGCACTTGATTGGCTAGTTTTGATAGATGAATGGGCAGAAGGAATAATAGTGAAATAGTCAGAAATTGGGTCAGTTTGAGTACTGGAATTACCTTAAAGGCCTCAAAATGGATAAAATAGCAGATGCATAAAGTGTTCCTTGACCTCCAACTTCGGGCCTGCATAATTTGGAAGTCTTACACTAAATTTCGTATTTTTGGAGTCATTATCTTTAAAAAAAAAATTTCTACCATTTCAGGGAACAAAATGTTTTTTTTTTAAATAGCAATACCGACAGGATTTTTAATTTTGGGGTCACAACAGTGAGTGTTAGTATCAGTTGTTTCTGGTGCAAGTTTTAATTAATTCTTTTTGCACCTCAATTAAATTATTAGTAATACAGCAAGGTCTCAATTAGTGAGAGTTCGAATGGCAAAATTCTGATGTGTGAAATTTATTAGTGCTCGTTTTTTCCCACAAACTCTTCAAATCATGTTCAAAAATTACACATGATCTGAATAGTGCAAATTTGAATAATGCAATCACTTCAGGGGATTCATTATTTGAACTAACTGAGCCCTAGCTCTACTATAGAAAGTGCATTTGCAGTGAAAATACATAATACAAATACTCTTATAACTCTCCAAAAATATTACAGCATGCACATGTTAACCATTTGTGACATTACCTGAGATTAACAAGGTTTCTACAGTGTGCCAGTGCCTGAGAAAAGTGAGCCAGGTAACAGCATTTCCCTGAAGGTCCTAAATGCTTCAAACGAAGAAATTTCAACTCCTGACATCCTTGGGCTATCTGAAAAACATTAATTACAGGAAACCGGTTAGCCGAACTTGAGTCCTGGAGGTGGAAAGCACAATGCCTGCACTTTAAAGGATGGGTTTGGGATACTGGCTGTTTGGAGTGACATCTAAACTACCGCATATGAGCGCCTCTACAAAAACAGTGATTGTGTGTAAATAATGGTGAAACTTGAATAATGATGAAAGTGTTTCTTTCTTTATTTTTTGGGTCACCCTGCTTCAGTAGGAGACGGCTGTGTGTTAAAAAAAAAAAAAACCCAATTTGGATTAAGGTGCTGATTTTGTATTTACACCTCTGGTTAATTATAATAAGTGAACAGAATGGTACAGGAACAAGGCTGTAAGCATTTTTTTTTATATTAGAAAGACACTTTCAGTAAAAGGTCTCCTATGAAAGATTAGCTTGAAAGATAAAAAATAAAAGCATAAGAAGTGATGTTATGGATTGCTAAGTTTTTTTGTTGTATGAAATAGCAAGAGAACATTTAGGTAGTAGGTTGGTAGACAGCACCTCCAGGGAGGTACTACCGTCCTCAATGCAAGTGTAAAATGAAACCTGTAATTGTTTTTACTGATGTTAGATTGCTGGTGTTTTTTCTGTCTCATATAACTGCAAAGTTTCAGTATTCTTGCTACTTCTACTTACATTTAGGTCAACTGTAATAATGTACAAGCAATTATAACACCCCTGGTTTTCTTTATATTTTTGTCAGGTTCTTGTTCTCTTTATTTCCTCTTATCCCATGGGGGAAGTGGAACAGAATTCTTCCTCCGTAACACCATGGGTGTTGTAAGAGGCAACTAAATGCCGGGCAAGGGGGGAGTAACCCCTTCTCCTGTATATATTATTAAATGTAAAAGGAGAAACTTTCGTTTCTCCTTTAGGGCCACCCCGCCTCGGTGGGATACGGCCGATGTGTTGAAAGAAAGAAAGAAAGAGAACATGTAGGTAGTAGGTTGGTAGACAGGAGCCGCCCAAGGAGGTACTACCGTCCTGTCAAGTGAGTGTAAAACGGAAACCTGTAATTGTTTTACATGATGGTAGGATTGCTGGTGTCTTTTTTCTGTCTCATAAACATGCAAGATTTCAGGTACGTCTTGCTACTTCTACTTACACTTAGGTCACACTACACATACATATACAAGCGTATATATTTTCTTTCTAGTTCTTGTTCTTGTTTATTTCCTCTTATCTCCATGGGGAAGTGGAACAGAATTCTTCCTCCGTAAGCCATGCATGTTGTAAGAGGCGGCTAAAATGCCAGGAGCAAGGGGCTAGTAACCCCTTCTCCTGTATGCTACTAAATGTGAAAGGAGAAACTTTTGTTTTTCCTCTTGGGCCACCCCGCCTAGGTGGGATACGGCTGGTGTGTTGAAAGAAAGAAAGAGAACAATCTCCATGTGGGGAAGTGGAACAGAATTCTTCCTCCACAAGTCATGCGTGTCGTAAGAGACGACTAAAATGCCAGGAGCAAGGGGCTAGTAGCCCCTTCTCCTGTATATATTACTAAATGTGAAAGGAGAAACTTTCGTTTTTCCTTCTCGGCCACCCCGCCTTGGTGGGATACGGCCGGTGTGTTGAAAGAAAGAAAGAAGAAAGAGAACAGCAATGAGAGGAGATATACCATATAGCAAGATTACCAGTGAGGTGCCACAAGGAAAAGTACTTACTCCCATAATGTTTCTCCCCCCCAAGGCAATGCTTTTTGACTAGAGTAGTTGTGTGAGAAAATTCTAAAGGAGAGGGGTCAGGATATTGTAATTTGGAGGGGAATTTGAGTTGTTATGTTGATGTGCTTCTGGCAAGACAGTGATGGAGTGAGTGATGATGAAAAAGTTTCTTCTTTTTTTGCATCACCCTACCTTGGTGGGAGACAGCTAATGTGATTAAAAAAATCCTGGTGCACAATAACTAATAATTTTACAATGGGTCACTATATCTGGTATAAGACTAATTCTCATCTGTCTTGTCTTACCTCAATTAAAAATAATCTGTTGGTAATAGGGATACCATCAATGTAAGACATGTCAGTCTCACCTCAATTAAAAATAATTCATTGGTTACAGGGGTACTATCGAGTGTAAGATGTGTCAGCCTCACCTCAATTAAAAATAACCCGTTGGTTATAGGGATACCATCGAGTGTAAGATGTGTCAGCCTCTTGAGCTTCTTCATGTTTTCCAGACACTCCCAGTGAACTTTAGCTGGACTGCATGATGTACTGTGGAAAATAAAGATTATTACCTATTTTAAGTTCCTAACTTTTAGAGCAACAGTTGTTGTGAAAATCTTTAAAAAACTTATTAAAAGGTTCTCTAAAATCTGACTTTTGCCATCTCACAAAAATTTCTTGTATTATTTGGAATGTTTGTCCCACAAATTGCACAATTAAATGATCAGTTTGTTTAAGATAAAAAGTAAATGTAAGCAAAGGCAAGAAAGATGCCATAAATAAAACAACAGCATCTTACAAATGAGAATTATCAAGCAAATAAATACCACTAAACAAGTGAAACGTATAAACAATAGTCATAACTAAGTGACATAAACCACTCTCTTAAAATCCCCACCCAAAGTGGTCAGGCCACTTACCTATCTCTACAAATTTTCCAAGAAATTTCATGTTTTTTGGTATCACTGCCTTCCAAAAAATGTTGTCCACCATTTACAAAAAACTTTTCTGAAAAATCATACTGGCATTGCAGAGGTTAATATCTTGTTTGCCAAGGAAGGCATATAAAGGAATACAGGCGGGCCGTGCTTTAAGTGCTTCACTTTACAACATTTCACTAATGCAGCGGTTTTCAATCATACCCATTCTTCATTTACTCAGACTTCCCAGACTTCCTACAATAAATATATTCACCACTCACTATAAGCTAAGAACAAAAATATTTTAAGGTAAGCAATGTGTGTACTGTATATGCATTTTTTAGTCCTAACTCTACTGCTCACTTAATATAAGATAGTGTAAATATGTTATCAGGCTTTTAGATGTATTTGAAATTGAAAAACGTCTGTGCTTCACTTTACAGCTATTTTTGCTGTACAGCAGTAGCCAGAACCTAACCTGCTGTATTAAGTGGGGCCTTCCTGTATATACAAACATACCTTGTATTAAATCCAATTTCTAGCATTGTGATCATTGGACAGTTTTCAAAAACCAAGTTGAAGGCAGCTATTTCAACTTCTTCCAAATTACTTGTACTGGGGACGCCAACTCTCTTGCGTTTAAATCCGACGGTGATTAAGTTCTCTGCCTTGGTAATGCAGGATTTCTTAGTGTGTCGAATTTCTGAAAACAAAGTACAGTACGGTATTTATATTAGGTATCAATAATTAAGAAAATGTGCTGTATTACCCACATGGGTCTGGGACAATTTTGGAAATATAATAATACAGGTCTCCATGGGGAAGTGGAACTGAATTCTTCACCCAGAAACCACATGTATTGTAAGACGTGACTAAAATGCCGGGAGCAAGAGGCTAGTAACCCCCTTTTCCTGTATATATTACTAAATTTAAAAGGATAAACTTTCATCTTTCTTTTTTTAGGCCACCCTGCCTTAGTGGGATACAGCCGGTTTGTTGAGAGAAGATGATAATATAGGCACTGACTGAGTGATGGTGAATGTGCTCATTTTTTCTTTAGAGCACCATGCCTTGATAGACAATGCCAATTTTTTTTTTTCAACAAACCAGCCGTATCCCACCAAGGTGGGGTGGCCCAAAAAGAAAAACGAAAATTTTTCCTTTTTAATTTAGTAATTTGTACAGAAGGGGTTACTAGCCCCTTGCTCCCAGCATTTTAGTTGCCTCTTACAACATGCATGGCTTACAGAGGAAGAATTCTGTTCCACTTCCCCATGGAGAACAATGGCAATAGTAAAACTAATTTAAATTTCTAGTTTTTAGAAATTACTGAAACTCTCTTAAAATGTCTTGATGCTGGTGAAAGGCTCTTAGTGCAAAGAGCAGGAGCAATCCTTCCTTTCCTTGGATAACAACCTGATTACTTTTCATTCCCAAAGCAAAACATAACCCGTATGGGTCATACTGTGCTTTGGGAAGCTTTTAAAGTCTTGGAAAGCTCTAAACCCATAAAGGTTTCCAACAAGTGTATTTCAAAAAGAGCTTTATCAAATCATGCTAAAGTTTCTTTGAATCTAACAAATTCATAAATAAAAGCTTACTGTGCTCTAGTGCTGTATGCTGTATCACCATAATTGATTTAGTGCTCTCCTGTTGACTATATTAATTGCTATGCACTAAGGGTGATGGCATTACACATATTTGTAGGTACTCTCCCTTCCAACTAACCTAACCACGAAAGTTCTGTTGATAAATAAGACCAATGTACAATGCCTGGGTATTTCAACTCTAAAACTGGTTCACCAACCAATGGCTTTTTCAATTCAATAGAGAAGTTAATTGAAGGACTTGAACTGGAATAAGTAGATGAGGAGGAAATCAGTTCCTTGGGGCTCCTAGAAGATGATGTCCATCACTCAGGTGTTGCCCATGTGTCTTATTCAACAATTTGTGAGTACTGTATACCATTTAGGTAATGAAAGTACTATAGTTGATTTGCATAAGCAACACAACATAAAATGCAGGAAAGACAACATAAAATTCTTTTCCTGTTCCTCTTTCTAATTTTCTTTGTTCCAGGTAATGGTTAGGTAGTGTTGGATACAGAGGTTTAAAACTTATAATTGTGCCCCTCAGGCTGTGAAATGTATTACTCTTCAAATGTAACATTCTCAGCTTTATATAATATGCATCATCTAAATTACCCTTTATGTTATAAACAAAAATGTTTGACAAGAAAACTGCAACACTTGACAAGTTCTCTATTTTCAAAAAAAATTCATTCAAAATTACTGCATTCAAAAGTGCTCAATTTATTCAAAAGTGCTTAATTCATTCAAAAATGTTGCATTCACTGAAAAGTGTTCCAAGAATTCAGAAGTGTTTTACTCATACTGAATGTCAGAGTGAATTATTACATAGTAATAAAAGCAGAAATCTTTCTTCTTTCAATGCACCAGCCGTATCCCACCAAAAAGAAAAACAAAAGTTTCTCTATATAAATTTAGTAATGTGTACAAGAGAAGGAGTTACTGGCCCCTCGCTCCCAGCATTTTAGTCGCCTCTTATGACATGCATGGCTTATAGAGGAAGGATTCTGTTCCACTTACCCCATGGAGAAAAAGTAGAAACTATTACACTATATAAAAGCAAGCAGACTAAGTCCATCGTATGTATCACTGAGAGAAAAAACATCTTCTGTGGTTTAAAGGTTATTCAGCCCCTGGAGAATGGGAGGTAATCAGGTCTGAGCCAAGGAAGGAAAGGGCAGCACCATTTCTGGAGATTAGAATACTGAAAATATGGAAGTTGAATGAAAAACATTTTTAAGACTATTGTCAGGGGGAGTTACAATTATAAGAGCTCCACATTTAGTCTAGTTTCCCAGCCCAAGGAAGTCACTACAAGTATTTTATTACAACATTGGCATTTGGAGTGTGAGCAAAGTAACATCTATGAAAGGATTCAGGGAAACCAGTTAGCCAGACTTAACTCTTGGAGGTGGGAAGGTGCCTGCACTCTGAAGGAGGGTGGAGATATGTTGCAGTTTTTGAAATGTACTATTGGCATGATTCTGGCAAGAGAGTGATGGAGCGAGTGACGAATAAAGTGTTTCTTAATTTTTAGGTCACCCTGCCTCGTGGAGAATGGCCGACGCGCTTAAAAAAAATTACACTAGCAAGGGTATGTGGAAAACATAAAAAAAAAAAAAAAGTGAAAACAAATCTAAATAACCTCAAATGACCAAAGGAAAAAAGTGACTGTTCACAACAAATAGAAGCAACTGCAACAAACACTGCTGTTCTTTTACCTCTACATGAAAGATGTCTGAGCACAACAATTTCAGCCTCTGCAAACATAATATATCCAGCACTCTGAATAGGTCCAGTTTCCTCTGGAAGACTTCTATACATGTACTTGTGCTGACACTATTTCTAATATGTGGTGGTAGCAGACTGAATAGTCTTGACCCACAGATGTTGACACATTCTATTATTGTGCCCTTGGTGCATGTGCTCCTTGCTGGTTTATGTTACACTGTCTCCCATCTCTCTCACTACAGTAGATCAATATGTTGTTAGGTTAATGTGTAAATTTGGAACTTTGCCCTCTGGCATATTCTATGTACAGAATACATTATCAGGAAAAGTATCTTCTTCCCTCCAGAAAGTATATTCCAAGCACTACGAGAAATTCCCAGTGGTTTAAATGCTTTTTAGTTTTCTGTGGGAAGCAAAAAATCTCTTTAATTTTTCTAACTTATCTCTCCTGTCTTAAATGGAAGGCATCAACACAGAAAATATTCTAAATGAGAGAGCACAAGTGATCTGAATATGTCCCCAGTGGCATTTTTTTTTTTTTTGAAAAGTTCTTGTTACCCACCATGTCATTTTTCCGACCTTTAAGGCACCTGCATTATTTTATTAACACACTGGCCATCTCCCACCAAGGCAGGGAGACCCAAAAGAGAAACACTTTCACCATCACTTTTACTATCACTGTCTTGCCAGAGGTGCACAGATACAAAAGTTCAGAAGTCCCTCCAAACAGTAAATATCTCTAACACCTCTTTTAGAGTGCAAGCACTGAACTTTCCATCTCCAGGACTCAAGTCCAACTAACTGGTTTCCCTGAATCCCTTCACAAAATGTTGTATTATTGTGTTCTTAATATAACAGGTCATTAACTAGTGACTAGTTAATGGTCCAAGTTGGACCAAAATGTCATCAAAAGTTTCATTCTCCTATGTGTGGGTTATTTGTGTAATGTATGTGAAGTGATAACTAAATTTAATCAAACCAGAATGCACTGTTGGTGTTTCCTTGCACTATGGAGCATTTGGATGGGATGGCCAACAAAACCACTGAAAGTCAAAAAATGAGAGTCACCCAACAGTTCACACAAACTGAAAGACAATAAAAATTCACATAAAAGAAACTCACCTATAAGGGCACACACGGGTACTGTGAGATGTGTTAAATGACGCAGTGTTGCGATGCCTTCAACGATCTTGGGTGGTCCTTGCTCAGGATGACAACATATGCTAAGTCTCTCCAGTTTTGGTTGCAGTTCACATAATTTCTTCATATCCTGAGGATTTTTTTTATATGTACAGTACATGTATAATATACATAAATAGATAAAATCAGGAGCAAGGGGCTAGTAACCCCTTCTTCTATATCCATTACTAAATTTAAGAAGAGAAAAACTTTTGTTTTCCTTTTTTGAGCCACCCTTCCTTGGTGGGATATGGCCAGTTGTTGAATGAAAAAATATACCATATATCGTGGCTTATAAGACTTGTTTTAGTTTCAATGGCTCGGTATGACGTAACAGGGAGAGCTACAGCCCACCCCACACCCCAAACTTATAGCTTCCATCACTGACCTTCAGTTTATAGGATGCAGGGTGATTTTTGGAGACATTTTATGGAAAAAAAAATGCATCTAGTAAGCCGCAAAATATGGCAAGTATTTTTTTAATATGCCAGCCATCTCCCACCACGACAGGGTGACCTGAAAAAGAAGAAATGCTTGTTTCTTCTTTTTACATTTAGTAATTTATACATGAGAAAGGGTTACTAGCCCCTTGCTCCCGGTATTTTAGTCACCTCATACAACTGGAATGACTTACGAAGGAAGAATTCTTCTCCACTTTCCTATCGAGGTTTTTATGTATGACTGGCTTAGACATCAGGCATGTGTGAGCATGTTAGATAAGAGTGCATGGAGGCAAGTGTTTTTTTTATGACTTGACGTGTTGTTGGAGTGTGAGCAAGGTAACACTTATGAAGGGATTCAGGGAAACCACTTTGCTGGAATCGAGTCCTGGAGGTGGACTTGACTCTGAAAGCAATGTGCTGGTAAAACTGTTTCTTTTACAAGTCATCCTACCTCAGTGGGAGATGGCCAGAGTGATCAAAAAAAAAAATATGTATATAGTTTTAATCGCAGGTACAATAAGGCCAATGAGCCTAGGAGGTTTGAAACTGGCAAACAGCAAGTTGAAAAGAAGAGCCAGTAGCTAGGATAAATAGGTTCATACATAGAGGATACTGTAATGATTTTTTCAGACAACTTTTCTCATTTTTGGTTACAAAGCCATACTGCCAATAATAATGAAAAAGACATAGTGGTACAGAACAAGCATTTATTGTAATCCTGATTCACTATGAAAAGCTTTACTGATAAAGCTCTACATAATGAAACTTTATCCCAACTAAACCTTGTTTGATTTTTTTTTACTAAACAGGAACATTCAACATTGCTCTACCACTCACCAGTGTTATGTTGAGACCACACATGATATTCATACTCTTGAGATTGGGACAGGAACGTATGATGGAGGTGAGGTTGATGCTGCGAGGAGCCTGACCAGTAACTAACAGTTCTTTTAAATTATGAAGAGGTCCAGCCTTGCACAACATGTCCCAAATCTGTGGTGTCAGTGTGAGGAACACTCTTGAGCACTTCTGGATGACAGCAACATTATCTGAAGGGAACAACAAGTTATTGTGTAGTGTGAAGCAGCAAACATGGTAGAAATTTATTTTCTATTATTTTATTTTCAGGTTACTATAACATGAGAACAGAGTTATGAAACCTGTGAGCTTCATGACTCTTGTAATGATGTTGGTAGAATTACTGAGATGATGTTATGTAAAAGGACACATGTGTGACCAATGCAAAACGCTCTAACAATAAAATGTTGCATTAGTTGCACACATGACCTTTTCATAATTCTTACGGTAACCTACCAAATAGTGTACTATCTATACACCCGGCAATATAGTCGGGTGCATACACTCACATCGTCCTTGTCGGAGTTTGTAATTTATTTTTTTGTGATTTATCATATATCAATTTAAATATTTTTTATAATTTAAAATTAATAATGTTTTTTTTTGTCATGTTCAAAGTGATTTAGGAACAATCCTAAAGTGTTCCCTTATAAAGCTTTGCTATATAGTGATTTTTTTTTGTAAATACAACTGAAAAAGTGTACCCAAAATTGAATAGTGCACGTGCAAGTGTGTGCGTGTGTGAACTTCCAGTTCAGACCAGCAGGCCCATGGTAGCCCTCCCCATATTTTTTAAATGCATCAGGTAACTACTACAAGAATGCAAGTTAAACCATAGTAATTTTTACCAAGTACAACAGCAAAACAATAAAAAATGGGTTCTCAAATTTGGAGCTGTCCAGAATGTAATTCTATTTTTCCCATATATTCTTCCTATTACACTGTTTTTTTTACATAGCATGCCAATTTTCAAGAACACAACCTGAATAGTAAGAGGGCACTAACTGAATTTTACATATAGTACTGTACATTTACAGGATCTGATTTGCTGCTGGGGTGTAAGCATGGTAACATTTATAAATTAATTCAGCAAAACAGGATTCCTGGACCTTGTGCTCTGGTGTGAATATTGTTGTTCACAGAGTCATTTGAGTTGTGACATGAATGCACTTCTGGTAAAACAATTATGAGGTTAGTGATAAGTAATGTGTTTCCTTCTTCAGGTCACCCTACCATTGTGAGAAAACTAGTTTATAAGAAAGAAAAAAAAAAAAACATACTGGCAGTGGATATGAAAACTGATATACACTGACAGATATAAATACAGGTGCAGTTAAGTACAGTGAAGTGAACTGACTAATTACATGAGGATCTTCAAAGCTGTGTCACCTATACATAATCAATCAAGAATACATTACTTTAATTCCTAAAATAGGATTGATGTAAATTTCCTGAGCAAATAGGATTATACACATACATACACACACACACACACACACACACGCACCTCGGCGTATATACCCTCTAACTCTTACCAAATGTGTTTCCGTTAATGTAAACTGGAGTGTTAGTCCAAAAAGTCTCCCAATCAGCAGAGCTCTGGCAACCCTCCGATATTTTAAGGAGAAGACCCCTGCAACACATCATCATTAAAAACCACTGGCACAAGCAGATAAAACCTCACTGTAAAATGAATCTCATTACTAGTGTTTTATCATTCATCTCCAGCTAAAGAACAAACTCTTAAGAATTTCAGCTTTTGAAACAACAGATGAATATTGTGATGAGTGCATGAAGTAAAAAGAAAAAAAGCTCAACTGTGGCAGAGGACAACTTACGCCAGCAGGTAGAGTGGAAAGCTGCCGTCCAAATGATCAATTATCAACTCTTGTAGATGAGGAAAGTTCAAAGTGTATTCCTTATCTGTTCGTCAATAATAATTGTTACTGTTATTAAAATTATAATAATAATAATTATTATTATTTATGAAGTGGAAAGAGTGCTAAATCATCATCTTTCAACAAACCAGCCCTATCCCACCAAGGCAGGGTGGCCCCCCCAAAAAATCGAAAGTTTCTCTTTTTAAATTTAGTGATTATACAGGAGAGGGGGTTACTAGCCCCTTGCTCCCGGCATTTTAGTCGCCTCTTTCAACATGCATGGCTTACGGAGGAAGAATTATGTTCCACTTCCCCATGGAGATAAGAGGAAATAAAGAAGAACAAGAACTAGAAAGAAAATAGAAGAAAAGCCAGAGGGGTGTGTATATATATGCTTGTACATGTATGTGTAGTGTGACCTAAGTGTAAGTAGAAGTAGCAAGACATACCTGAAATCTTGCATGTTTATGAGACAGACAAAAGACACCAGCAATCCTACCATCATGTAAAACAATTTCAGGCTTTTGTTATACACTCACTTGGCAGGATGGTAGTACCTCCCTGGGTGGTTGCTGTTTACCAACCTACTACCTAGGGGTGCTAAATCTATATGGGTAAAAAAAAAAAACACTTTGGGAAATGGGAGGAAATCAGATTGGATCCAAAGGAATGGAAAGCAGATCCAATTCCCTGGATCAGTAGCCTCTCACTGGCATCTAGGCTCTTAAAGGGACAACATGCTTAAGTGCTTGATTGTGTGGTTGAGGGCAGTTAATGTTTTCTGTGAAACAATATAAAACACATGTCTTGACATCAATGTCTGACAGATGTAAAGTGTTTCATTGCATTTGAACACCAGTCAGGATCTGACAGCTGTATGGTACTAATATTTTTATATGCCATATACAGTAGAATCCCCATATCCACTAATTTGGTATCCACAGTTTCAGTTATCCAATGTTTACTGTGGCCCAAAAATCTCTCTTAATTTTGCATAACAATGGCCCCAAAGTGCAAAAGTAGAGAAGCTGGCAGTTCTTCAAAGCCTAAAAGAAGCAGTGAAGGGCTTCCCATCTTATTCTGCCTAATTTATCAATTTAACTTATAATAGGTATGTATAGGACCTATATAGTACACAGTTTGCTACTATCTGTGATTTCGGTATCCACAGCAGGTCCTTGGAACATATCCCCTGTGGATATAGAAGTCCTACTGTATATAATTTCTCTCTGTGGAGAAGAATCTTTCCTGCGTAAGCCATGCGTGTCGTAAGGGGCAACTAAAATGCCGGGAGCAAGGAGCTAGTAACCCTTTCTCCTCTATAAATTACTAAATGTAAAAAGAAGACATACTTCACATTTCTTCATTTTTGGGTCACCCTGCCTTGGTGGGAGATGGTCAATATGTTAAAAATATATATAGTTTCTCTCATACAAACCTACCAATGTTAGAAATCTGATACTTCAAAGAAATTAAAAATTTATTTTGGCATTCCAACACTGATGTGATGATACCTGACTTTTAATGTAGCATTTTGTCTCTGAAACTATTCCTTGAAATTTTCTCTTAGATTTTCACACTTGGTCAGGCAAGATGGATCTTAATGTTCACAATGTACACAGCCCTGAACATTCTAAACATTCAGCCCTGAACACTTAGAACATTCAGTGCTCAAATGTAGCTTTAGCCCCTTTGCAGTACTTAATCTCAATCATATTTTTAAGTTAAGCCTACCGGAAAATATCCTGGGAGCGCTGAAGAACTTGCGTGCATGATGATTGATGATAACCAATTTTTTAAGGCCGGTACAGTGGATAAGAAGCTCCAAGAGTGGCATGGGGTTAGCATATATCATTATCTTCAAAGTTTTGAGTTCACTGAGTACAGTCTTCACCTCACTGAACCCTCCCACCCACTGCTTTGCATTGTCTGATTCCATGTCATCCGGCCAACTGATAGAGAGATCTTGAAGCTGAAAATATAAAAATGTGTATAAGTATTATTTTGTGAAGGGATTCAAGGAAACTGGTTAGCCAGACTTGAGTTCTAGAGGTGGGAAGTACAGTGTCTGGATTCAAAAGGAGGGGTTTGGGATATATGCTGTTTAGAGTGACATCTAAACTGTGGAATCTGTGCCTCTGGCAAGACAGTGACAGTGCGAATGATGGTGAATGTGTTTCTTTTCTGGGTCATCCTGCCTCAGCAGGAGATGGCCAGTGTGCTAAAATACATATATATATATGTATGTACAGTATAAGTTATGGTCAACATCTATGTGTAATGTACATGGTCTGCATTATTGCATAAACTGACTTAACATGAAAGTCACAATGCAGCTCCACACATTCCATTGCATAAATGACCTTTCTATGTATGCCATTTTAACCACAAATTAATAGGGTTCATCATTCACAAACTTGGATCATCCAACTTTTACTGATGAGCAACCCACAAACATATTGATTATTTAGAGTTTCTGAAGGATCGTCAAATTTTATTTCTGTGTGGACATCCAATATAGAATTAGAAAATGAGTCACGTTTATGGGAAAAAACTGTATAATAGTCATATGTTCATGGGAATGTTTAGTATAGATTTGTATTGTTCTTCAAGAATTTTATTAATTCTCTGTCCCCTGAATATGTACTGTACCTTGATAGGTAAAGTACATACTGAGGCAGTTATTAGATTTATAAAGTGTAAATCTGTAAATGTCATACTGCACCTGAGCAATGGGAAGCATTCTGATTTGATCCAATCAAAGCACCCTATTTCTTTTGAAAGGCATAGTGGAGTTATAGAGACGAGTTTTCATTTGAAAGAGTTTGTGTTCCTAGTGGACCCAAAGAGCCTCACTGTAATAAAAAAGCTTCAGTTTATCTTAAAAAATTTGCTGGAGGAATATCACCCTAAAAATATATACGAACCACAAAAAATGCTGTACCGTATTAGTTTTACCGTCAATAATAATATACTATTGCACACTGCTATTATTATAATTATATTCACAACAAAGCACTAAGCTCAGTCTAGTATAGAGACAGGTACTCTTACCTTTGTACAAGATGTGAGAATCCATTTCAGTTGTAAAAACGTCAAAGGTGTTCCTAGCATATGGAGCGAGTTCAGATTTTTCAGCTTCACCACAAAACTTGGCAATCTGATCCAGTACACATGGTCTAAATTGATATGCTCTATATTCCGGCATCTTAAACGTGGAAGGAAGAAGGTCTTGAAATCGTCTGTTGTACGACTGTAGACCTTTCTCAAGTCTAAATACCTGAAGAATAATATCACAGTTAAACAATAGATACCTGGTTTGAATAACATAACAAGAAAACAAAATCCAAATTAAGCCAATTTAAAGTAAAAATATCTTTGCATTTTTATAGACTTTGCTTTTAATTTTTCAAGTGTGAAGTACTAGGAGCCTCCAAACTTACAAAAAAAAAAAAAAATTATTTCTGAAAATCATTCTTAACTCTAGTTTTTATAACTGAACATATGATCCCACAGACACCTATAATTTAAAGAGATGTCCTCTTGAACTATATATAAAATTTTGTATTTAATTTCAGAGTTTAACAATGAAACTAAGATGGGTCTTACTCTCTTCTCTTTCCTCCCTTTTCCCTCCCCCCTCTCTCTCCCTATTTCCTCCTCTCCCATCATATCTGAAGCAGCATTCTTCACCAGTGTTCTCCACCCCATCAGTGTTATGGTACGGGAGGCAAGTGTCTGGGCATGTGGGAGAGTAGTAGGTGCCTGGGTGTAGTTTGAGAAGGAAGGTTTGCTGTGAAGGCAGCATGGAATAAGTGTATGAAGACACTGAAGAGGTTGAAAATGAAGGCAGCACAATCTCTGACAACTGGAACAACCAAGAGATGATGGAGCGTCAGCATGACTGGACATTTCTCGTAGAGTGACATGAGGCCATGAGATGATAATGTAAGTGTTATTCATCAATGCAGGCATATATAAGAGTACTATAACCAAGCATAAGAGTACTATTACCAAGCATAAGAGTACTATTACCAAGCATATATGAGTACTATTACCAGACATATAAAAAAGTACTATTACCAGGCATATAAAAGAGTACTATTACCAGGCATATAAAAGAGTACTATTACCAGGCATATAAAAAGAGTACTATTACCAGGCATATAAAAGAGTACTATTTCCAGGCATATAAAAGAGTACTATTACCAGGCATATATAAGTATTATTACCTGATATTTTTCCTTTTTGCTCATATTACTAAACATATAATACAATTCCTTATTTCTAATTTCTGCACATACAAATATATAACCTGAAGGATGCACAGCACTCACGGTTTAATAACCCAGAATAACCCAAGAAAACAAATGGAACTGATTCCCATTGGGTCTTTTTATTTTTAGGTGAATATTATTATTATTAAAGCTTATACTGAGACAAACGCTAAACCCGTATGGGACCTACAGCGTTTTCAAGGCGCATAATGGAGTTACAACACTCGCGCCCAGGAAGATTATTTCATCTTACCTGACTATTTTCCTGTCGTTTACTAGACAGCTGAATCTGTTGCTGACACACGACACTGAGAACAAGTCTTGGCTGGAGAGAAACCGTAATATTAGCAGCAAAACTTCATTGGGAAGGAAGTCAATGTTGACCTCCATTGTTGTTGGGGATCTTTAAAGGTCACTAAACATGACGTTTTAGCGAGTCCTCCTTCACGGCAGTCCAGTAAAATTATGTTACTTAAATCTGAACGGGAATTGCAAAGTCAAGAGAATTTCTTTTGGGAAGGGTAGCGGGAACAAAAACTTCTTATTAAGTGAGGTAGAACCCTTGCTTGAACTTCAGCAGGGTCAGAAGTTAGTGGTTAGTTTGTGTCGCCAGAGTGACTAGTTGACTGTTGTGTATCTCGTGCTCACTTTGTGAGCTTCAGCGCTTGTTAAGAGGTTTACAGATGTCATATCTTGTCTTTATCTAACCCCACTGGGCACTATCACATAACATATTAGTCGTTTAATATATTACAATTGCTTTATATAACCAATGTGCACAATACAGTACAGAATACAGTCTTAAAAAATATTTGGTATTTTTTACGACCAATAAATATTAGCCATGATTGGGTTGCAATTTCCTCAGCTCATCCAAATGTCGACGCAAAAATTTGGATACAACATCAAGATTTCAGTTATCTTACCCTTAACAATGAGAATCTTTTGCCATATCCTGCAAGATTTGCATGGGGTTTGCTCAATATCTTTATTATGTACCCCATACTCATGATGTTGGGGGTAGCCAACATATTACAGAGGTACATAATGGGTCCAGGGTCTGGGTCCTAAAATTTTAATAGCTGAATAAGTTACAGTGGTAATGAACTATTTATATGTTTATATCTGGTCACAATCGTATTGAGTTATTTATGCAGACATGAATTAGGTCACACACACCCAAAAAACTGGTAATGTTTTATTTATAGGGAGCAAAATCAGGGTATTTTTCCAGAATGGTTTGTAATATACTACTGTGGCACATGGTCACTCTCTAGAACACTAGAACATAAGAAAGAAGGAACACTGCAGCAGGCCTACTGGCCCATGCGAGGCAAGTCCAAGTCTCCTACCGGCTTAAGCCAATGCCCCAACCTAGTCAGATCAGGTCACATTCACTTAAGGAAGGAACACGGCGTGCTTAATTGTCCACTTATTGAGGAATACAGAGATAGACAGTATAATAACCTATGTGACATGTCAAGATATCTTATTAATGAAAATAAGATACCAGATATACTAAGCAAATTTCCTAAATTTGCTTGTAACAGATAAGTGAACTGTAGATATGTAGATATAAATCCATATGTACACCTGTTAACCCTTTGGGCCTATTTCCTAGGCCTTTTGTGTATCAATATGCTCTTGCGCTACCGTCCACAGGATAAATATGAAATGCACAATAAACTATCCACTTCAGTGACAAAATCTAATCTAAATCTACTGTGGATAAAGCACTATGATATTTCTTGAACATTTCTGAGTGAGTTGTCTACGAATTCATCAATTTTATCACATGGAGACGACTCTGAAATCTGAATGCTTAACAGTCAGTGATCACTGTCAGAGTTAAATCCATATTAACCTTACCCTTTGGCCTACGGTGCTTGTATCAAGGCTGGCTTGTACTGCTAGATTTCACATAACATTCAGTGACAAAACTTGCAAATCTATGTCACTTGTTTCATCTTTCTCATAGTTGTCATACATTCATCAATATTTACAATGGAATTAAAGGCTGAATGTTAAATCAACATGTCAGTGCCCATTATGCAATACAAACCCCATCTAGCAACTAAGCGGGATTTATAGATTTAACATACAAACAACTTGCTTCAGTGTCTTGATACTATTCATATTGATCAAACATACTCTAGAATGTTTTGTAATAACAACTTGTCATCCAGTGTTGTAACACAACACAACACAGATTTATGTGTAACAACAACACGATTTCAGTGTTGTAACAACACGATTCAGTGTTGTAAACAACAGATTCAGTGTTGTAACAACAACAGATTTCAGTGTTGTAACAACAACAGACTTCAGTGTAACAGCAGACTTCGGTGCTGTAACAACAGACTTCAGTATTGTAAATGTGTTTTATAGGGATGCTGCAGTTCAGTACTGCTTAACCTTCCTACACAAATGGGTCACCTTTGATGGTCAAATGTGTGATGACGGTCGCACTGTTTTGTTGACACTGTAGTGTGGAATCTGCATAAAAGTGAATTTATAATTTCATGCGAGGGCCAGAATGGAAGGACCACATGCGACGGGCCACGAGGTTGGCCCCTGATACAGGGGGCTGCCTCGTATCCAGTCATCGTAATCCCTCAAGTTAATAATGACTGCCCCTCGTCATTACCTTGACTGTGTTGAAAATAGGCAACATACCGTCCATATTAGGCCAAGTACTTACTAAGAAAAGAGAACAAATCTATATGGTCTTACCATTTAGAAATAGTCATTAATTTGGTTATAAGAAAAGTTTGCAATTTAATGTACAGTAAGAATGAATGAATTAAACATCATAGGAAGATGTATAAATATATATATATATATATGAAATATATAGATAATATGGGCAGTTGGGGCATCATTTGGGTATCTCCTATACGGTATATGCCTTCTAAATTGTATCTGACACCTCTCAAAGCAGTGATAATGTGGAGTGATTCTGAAGTGTTGAATGAGATGAAAGTACTTCCTTTTTGGGGATTTTCTATCTTTTTTTTGGGTCACCTGCCTCGTGGAACGGCCGTACATTGTTTAAAAATTCAAAAATAAAAAAAAAAAAAACAAGGAAATTATATATATATATATATATATATATATATATATATATATATATATATATATATATATATATATATATATATATATATAAGTATCATTGGCAGTTTGTTATCAATAATTCATACAAGATTTTTCTAATCTTAACATGTAATCTGTCCCTCCAGAACACGACCCATTAATGAGTGACTGTGTCTGCTTACTCACGTTCCTAATCAAACTGCATCGAAATGTCATTCTTCTTTTCGAATTCCTTTTATATATTATCATCATTTCATAATTGATTTACTTTAATAATAATAACTAAATTACATAAAAAAAATTATAATATATTTTTATGTATCATTATCTTGTTATTTATCATATATATTGTTGCTATTATATTATATTATTATTATTATTATTTATTGTAGAGTGTATCATGATATGGGTCAGGAAGGGACGAACTCCGATTTATAAAATATGATTCGAACGTGATGGAGGGCAAGTCAAAGGGTAAGAGAAGAAGTGCGAACAATTAATGGTGATGTTTATCATGTACCAGGGTATGGATGGTGTGTCCTGTGACCAGGGTAGTGGATGGTGTGGTCTGTACCAGGGTATGAGATGGTGTGGTCTGTACCGGTTGTGATCGTGTGGTCGTGACCAAGGGTAGATGGATGGTGTGGTCTGTGACCGTTGTAAAATGGATGGTGTTGGTTTGTGACCAGGCGGATTATAATGTTGTCTGTGACCGGGTAGTGAATAATGTGCTGTGACCATGGTAATGGATGTGTGGTCTGTGACCAGGTAGTGTGGTGTGGTCTGTGACCAGGGTATGGATGGTGTGTTGTCTGTGATCCATGGTATGATGGTGTGGTCTGTGACCGGTAGTGGATTTGTGCTTGACCAGGTAGTGGATGGTGTGGTCTTGACCTGTGTAGTGGATGGTGTGTTGTGACAGGGTATGATGGTCAGTGGTCTGTGACCAGGTAGCGATGTGTGGCTGTGACATGTAGTGATGGTGTGTCTGTGACCAGGGTATGGAGGTGTGTCTGTGACCATGGTAGTGGATGGTGGTCTGTGACCAGGGGTAAGTGGATGGTGTGGTCTGTGACCAGGGGTAGTGGATGGTGTGGCTGTGACCAGTGGTAGTGGATGGTGTGGTCTGTGACCAGTGGTAGTGGATGGTGTGGTCTGTGACCAGGGGTATGATGTGTGGTCTGTGACAGTGTGGTGTGGCCTGTGACCAGTGGTAGTGGATGGTGTGGTCTGTGACCAGGGGTAGTGGATGGTGTGGTCTGTGACCAGTGGTAGTGGATGGTGTGGTCTGTGACCAGTGGTAGTGGATGGTGTGGTCTGTGACCAGGGGTAGTGGATGGTGTGGCCTGTGACCAGTGGTAGTGGATGGTGTGGTCTGTGACCAGTGGTAGTGGATGGTGTGGTCTGTGACCAGGGGTAGTGGATGGTGTGGCCTGTGACCAGGGGTAGTGGATGGTGTGGTCTGTGACCAGTGGTAGTGGTATGTGTGGTCTGTGACCAGTGGTAGTGGATGGTGTGGTCTGTGACCAGGGGTAGTGGATGGTGTGGTCTGTGACCAGGGGTAGTGGATGGTGTGGTCTGTGACCAGTGGTAGTGGATGGTGTGGTCTGCGACCAGTGGTAGTGGATGGTGTGGTCTGTGACCAGTGGTAGTGGATGGTGTGGTCTGTGACCAGGGGTAGTGGATGGTGTGGTCTGTGACCAGGGGTAGTGGATGGTGTGGTCTGTGACCAGGGGTAGTGGATGGTGTGGTCTGTGACCAGTGGTAGTGGATGGTGTGGTCTGTGACCAGGGGTAGTGGATGGTGTGGATGGTGTGGTCTGTGACCAGGGGTAGTGGATGGTGTGGTCCGTGACCAGGGGTAGTGGATGGTGTGGTCTGTGACCAGTGGTAGTGGATGGTGTGGTCTGTGACCAGTGGTAGTGGATGGTGTGGTCTGTGACCAGTGGTAGTGGATGGTGTGGTCTGTGACCAGGGGTAGTGGATGGTGTGGTGTGTGAACAGTGGTAGTGGATGGTGTGGTCTGTGACCAGTGGTAGTGGATGGTGTGGTCTGTGACCAGTGGTAGTGGATGGTGTGGTCTGCGACCAGGGGTAGTGGATGGTGTGGTCTGTGACCAGGGGTAGTGGATGGTGTGGTCTGTGACCAGGGGTAGTGGATGGTGTGGTCTGTGACAAGTGGTAGTGGATGGTGTGGTCTGACCAGTGGTAGTGGATGGTGTGGTCTATGACCAGTGGTAGTGGATGGTGTGGTCTGTGACCAGGGGTAGTGGATGGTGTGGATGGTGTGGTCTGTGACCAGTGGTAGTGGATGGTGTGGTCTGTGACCAGGGGTAGTGGATGGTGTGGTCTGTGACCAGTGGTAGTGGATGGTGTGGTCTATGACCAGTGGTAGTGGATGGTGTGGTCTGTGACCAGGGGTAGTGGATGGTGTGGTCTGTGACCAGGGGTAGTGGATGGTGTGGTCTGTGACCAGGGTAGTGGATGGTGT